TTTCGGAGTCCCCGGCTGGCAGTGGTTAAGGTGATTATTATGTTCAGTAAAAGTTGCACTTTTTAACCACAATATGTTAAAATGTTACACAAAAATGTTTTTGGAGGAGAAAATCTTCATAGCTCAGTCTTGTGCTTCAATAAAAAAAATCAAATCATGAGATTAGTTTAAAAATACATTTGAAGTCAGATGATTCATGCCAAATATGATGCCGAATTGATTTTTTAGCTTGTTTTGATGTTTTCCAGACAGCTTGCCATGAAAAGGGTCAAGAAACAACTTTCCATGGTCTGAATTGTCTTTGTAAACTATAGTACAGACTGAGGTTATCATTTGAGAAGGATCACTTAAGCTAAAATCTACCATGTGCAGGTGACAGTCAATTTAGGTGTAAGCAACGTTTTGTGTTTCGCCTCTAACTGAATGGACTACATATTTGTTGGGTTACATGCATATGCTACATGTTGCGTTATGCACATTACATGATGTTTTCAGGTGTGTGCAGGTTGTGTTTTTGGGGGGGTCACATAAAGGGGTAATAATGCATTACACAATTGTCCAGTTCATTTTACGCAGTTGATAAAAATATTTGGGATAAATTAAGTCCTTGGAGTACATATGTCTTTCATTGTTTGTAGTTGCCATGTCCTGGCCAGTGCATGCGACAACATGGGACACAAGTTGTATGCCTCCCGCCCCTTCACTGAACATCTTGTACAGTCTATGGCTTTGTTGCTGAATCATGCACCTGACAACAGACTTCGACCCGTTATTCATATCCTTTTTGCAGTTATAAGTGCATCTACCCATTCACTGGGCCATGCCATGGTGCATGGACACTGTATGGCTATTGTGACGAAATGGCTTTAACAAGTTTAGCTTTCAGTTAAAAGATGGCATCATTCTTATCTTTGTATAGGCACAGAGAATGCGTGACACCACTGTATTGGTACCTGTGTACATTAGCATTCATTTGTGTGTAATTTCCCTTATAAATGTACATGTTTAAGGCAGCGTGGGACTGGCGCAAGTTTATGTTTTGTCTAGTGTGTTTCATGCCGCGTGCGGCGTAGGCAGTTTCACAGAAGTCTCGAGGCAGTCTGGAGGCCTGGTTCAGTGAGTGAACAGTGCTGTGTGTGACCGTTCCTTATGTGTGTGCTACCGCTGAGAGTCTGCTAGCAATTCAGTACTGGTTCCGCAATCTAAGCAGTAGTAAGTAACCGTAATGTATCCACTGTAATTGACTCATAATTGTTCTTAGTATCGGTCAGAAAAGACCATGGGTAGAACAATACTGTGTGGGTAGAGTTCTTGGCAGAGTTGTCGAAGGTTGTCCGAAGGTCACCCTCTAGAAAAGCGGTGAATGATTGGATAGCCAGAGAGTTACCCGTTAGTTTGGGTTAGTTAGTTAGCACTGGTAATCCGCTGATATCCTGGGTGCAGTCACCCGAGTGAGGTTGCGTATTGCGAATTGTGGATACAGGTTAGAGGTTGCGGATTGCAGATTATTGGCGGCACTTTGCAGATTGCGGATTATTTAAGTGTTCTTTTGTAGTCGTATTTTGTTTTATTCTTTTTTAACTCTTGTATAAAATAAGTAACTCCAATTGTGTAAATATAGTGATTATATAAGCTAAAGAAAAATATATTAAATAAGTCCTGTTGATCTTGCCGGTAATATCTTGTTTATGCACATGCTCATGGTTGTGTCAGTCAACCAGGTCACCAAATCAATAACCGATCGGTGGTATATTTCTGCCAAAACAACCCCTAACCCCTGGACCTTAGATTGCTCGTCAAACTCAAGGCAGATAGTTTAGGTTTAGGTCAGGTGACTTTCCCCACAGTTGGAAACAATTCGCCCAGACTGGCGAGACCTATGCTGGCTCGTGGGAATAAAACGCCACACTATACATGTTTTACATTACTGCAGCACTAACTTCTCAATCTCTGTGCAGGGAAAACTTGACACTATCCTGGGCGCAGACATTTTTAATTCAAGTGTTTGCTGGTTGAACATTTGAAATCAGGTAGAATGAATATCGAATTATGTACTCTATATGCAACGCCTATAGGGTACCACAAAAATCACTAAATGCCAATGTAAAAAGTCACAGCAAAGTTATCTTCAGTGCATATATGCGCATGCATTTGCGTTTTTTATGCAGAGCAAAATGAAATGCTCATTTACTGATTGTGCGTTAGTGTTTGTGCATATTGACTTTGTTGGCATATCATTTCAGAATATAGGGCAGATATGCAAATACTGGGACAAAAGCTGTACAAAATGTTGAGGATTTTCCATAGATTTGTGCACAAACATGGATGCACCCAGCAGGCATCACTTTGTACGAGTCAGTGCTCTAGTTTTTATATATACATGTACAATGTAGCTCCAGACACCTACCATGTGGTTGAGTACATCTTGAGAATGTGAGTGCTGTGCACCAGACGTGAGAAGAAGAGAACATGCACACATTATGCTGTGTGTTAGTTTTGACCAGTGCTGCAAGTAAGCTCCCAGTGTCAGTTTGGTTTGGGGTCAGTTATGACACAAGTCAGGAAATTTTTGACATGCTTTAGTTTAGTTTGTTTTTGGAAGTATACAGGTACAGTATGTACGGTATACATTGAAACATCAAAAGGCTTGCAATATACACATCATAGGACTTTCATGTATGAATGTAGTTAATAAGACTCCTGCCCCCGTTCATGAGCCACTTTGGTTTCAATATTTGAACATGTTTTGTAGCTGTTCCTTGATGTTTATTTGGGAAGTTAAAATTTAAAGGAAAGTTACAGTTACTTGCCCGACATTTTCTTACCACTTTTCGCTCATCATCTATTTGGACCATGCTTGAACAACACAATTGAAGTATAAGTGAATAAGTAAAAGGAAAAAAAATCAGCCAGTATGACCAAATCAGACTCCCTCTCAACAGAATACCTGATTGAAAAGATTTTATAGCAAATCATGCTGTTTTTAGTATTTTCCACCACCAACTTATGGCATTTGTATCCACTCTAAAACAAATAAGAGTAATATCAAGTCAGCATTCTTTTCCAGGACAGCATAAATTAACTTGTTAATTATCACAAATGTTCGTGCCTACTTCACCAATGGGACAAATTTTCCATAAGTTTTCATTCTAATGGAGATCTGGCAAAATTCCACTGTGGTGAATATGTACTATGACTAGTATGACCCAACAAAAGGCAACTGCACCAAAGTTCGATGTTTCGTTGTTGCTGGACTGCCTAAATGTCAGCCATGCAAGCTTGCAAGATCACTGTTCTTTGAGTTCATGGAGTCGAACAATGAGAAATATCCAATCAAAAGTCAGTTTACATGGCCACATGATGGCATCATTGGCCTAATATGGATAATAAGTGTTTTGCTACTGGACAGGAAAATGGTAGTCTGAATACACATGTACAACTAAATGTAGTGAGAATTTGTCATCTTTATGCACCACTGGAATGTGGTACATTTTAATTTTTTGGGGGGGGGCATGTTTTTCATATATAATGTGTAATGGTGGCCATCATACAGTACACATTGATGTACAGGTGCACGTATGCACTCTACTTGTGTACACATACATGTACAAATTTTCTTGTACATGTGCATGCACATATTCATTAAGCCCATGTATTGATGATAATATAACTCATCTATTTCCATTTCTGTTGCTCTTTTGGCTGTTTTAAAGAGTATTTTGTCCAGTTTCCACGTGAGACAGTTAAACTTCCTTAGCCTGTTTTACGTGTGTTCATGAAGTCACTAGTCCTGCACTGCCCTGCAGATTGCCATGGTGATGTTTTACTGCCAGTGTTACATTACTTGGGTGACTTCATGCTTCAAAGACTTACCTGTGCATGGGATGTTGTTAACAAACGGATCGACATGGGGTAGGTATTGATCTTTCTTTTTATTATTATCACCAAAGTCACGTTTATAGCTTGAGACAACACAATTAAATGTTACTCAAACTAGAAGTGGGAGGTGCCTATGCACCATTCACAAATATCCAAAACAAATTGAAAATGAGCAACAGTGTAAAGTATCCTGCAAAGATGTTGCAGCTGGGTTAATACTGTTAATTCAAAGAAAAATGAGGTTTTGTAAACCTTTCAGGGATTGTTTATTGTCAAGTAACTACTGACCTACATAGAAGACATACAAATGGACAGGTGGAACAATGTCGTTAAATATTTTTGGGCCTGGACTGCTTCAGGCATTTAGTTGAAATAAAATACTAATTTTGTCTGAAGCTAATGTAGTTTACATTTTCATGGGATCCATATGAGTGTAATATCAAACACACAGGGAGGATTCTGAGACCAGAGAATCAAACCAGGAATCACAGGAGATTATAGATGAGATGTTTCTGCGACTCATCACAAGGGACTATCTGGATCTTCTGAGTAAGAATGAGATTGTTTTTCACATACATGTTGGCACAGCACATAAATACCCAACTAGATCCCACAATATGAGTCCTCACACCTGTCATGGAATAAATTATTCTAAGCTCTTTGTTGTGATGTGTTTGTCAATTTTGCTATTTCATGGGTGAAATTGTCTGATCTGTTTATTTCCACCATGCAAGATTTCTGTTTGGGCCAGTGACTCGAAATGAAAGTCTGGTTTCCATATGGTTGTAGTGATGCTGAAGACATGCAAGATGCCAAGATACGGACAGTCATGGAAGAGATATTGCTTCATGTCACACCCCTAAAAAAATGAAACAAAGTGACATCCGAAACTTAAAAAACATCTGCATCAAATGCTTTTTTATGCCCTGCCCGACAAAGTTGAAGATGCATACTGTTTCCGCCTTGTCCTTCCGTGGGTGGGTGTGTGTGTTTGTGGGTGCACTAACCTTACATACCTAGTGTGGACTTGTAAACAAAAGATGTCCACACGATGCAGGAAAGGAAGACGTTCTGTGGACTTACGCATGTCCACAGGACATTTCCCCTTCTCTGAAAAAGACGTTTAGAGGCATTTGGGGGTAGGGGTCATCCGTCTTAAAAGGAATAGTCAAGGAAACCTTGTACAAAAAAAAAAAAAAAACAGCTGAAAATGGTGTTCCCAGTTCAAGAAAAGCAAGTATTTGCACTGAGTTTTCTTAACTGTATAAAAAAAAAAGGAATGTCCACACTAGGTATGTGTGTGTCCAAAAAACTTGTCAGCACAATAACTTGAATATTACATGCCCTATAGACTACAATTGGTATGTAGGTTGTAATCAGTGGACCTAAAAAGCTTTTTGAATTTGGGTGCAAAATATTAAACTTCATGGTCAAATTGGCTGAAACAATGGGAATTTCATCAGCGTGATTACTTGAGAATTACATGTCCTATGGAAATCAAATTCGGTATGTAAGTTGTAATCAGTGGGCCTCAGAAGCCTATTGAATTTGGAGGTAACATATTAAGGTTCAAGGTCAAATCGGCTAAAACATTAGAAATCTTGTCAGTGCGATAACTTTTGAATTATATGTTCTACAGACTTCAAATTTGGTATGTAGGTTGTAACAGTGGTTCTGAGAAGCCTATTGAATTTGGGTGCCAAAGAAGTTGCAAGGTCAAAAGCTCAACTGAATAATGGTATGCTTAGGGGATTTCATGCAGTCTTGGCAGGGCATATGTGTTTGTCAACACACCTGTCTTGTTTAGGTTGTGATACTGCCTCTTGAAGCCAAGCTACTCCACTTTGATGTGTTTTTATGGTCAGCTATTTTGTTGACAGTTGGGGCATCACATGTGAATAACAAGGGCAAAATGGGCTGTATGAGTGATAATTTAAAGTGAGAAAGCCGTCATTGTACATCTGTCATGCCATGGTGCTTTTTTGTGCCTTCTTGAGATTTGGCAAAGTTGAACCTGATCTAACTTTCCCGACTTTGCATCAGTCAAGATTAAGCATTTCCATAAGATGACCTATTGTTGAGGACGGATTGGTGATCACCTCTCTGTGTCTCTTCATGTATGTATAGAAATCAAGCTTAACTCTGCCAACTTACAACTGAATTTGTTATGATAATTATTTCCACAATGTTTTAAAGCGCCATTATTGTCCCTGCACATTGGGCTCACACATCTATGAACATTCCTGAAACCATCTCAGCTCCCTGGGGAGTATACAAACCCAGAGCTGCCATTTCGGCACAAACAGCTAAACATAATCACGTCTGCCCTCACAGGTACCCATTTACTCCTGGGTGGAGAGAGGCACATAGGAGTAAAGTGACTTACCCTGGATCACAACATGCTGCCACCAGCTGGATTCGAACCCCTGATCCTATCAGCAGAAGCTACAAACCCCAACCACTATGCCACATGCCTCAACATGGTCATTTATACTACTCAGTGTTGTAGTTGCCACAACCTGAATTCAAGTCACAAGCTATTCAAATGAACTGCAACAAAAGCATTCCTTTGTCATTGTTCACCCTGTTAGTTGTGACAAGCCTTGACCATGGTCTCAGGGGTAGTTTTGTGTCTGGTCTGGTGATGGTCTCGACCACAACACTGATACTACTGCTGTATTTTCATATCTCTTTAGAAATATTACTTATTTTTGTCATGCTTTCTATACATAGATATAAATATTGGGAGACCTCTTTTGAAAGATATATTTCAAAGGGATTTGTGGTTAAAATGTTACTGTGTGGTACTCAGTTAATGATCATGTAAGTCAGCTGTTAGATTATTCAGGCAAGTTAGAATAATGGTAAATTACACTACTCCAAAAAATTAAACGAACAAGACAACAGAATGTTTTTGCCATGGTCTATATGGGCTACCATTAGAACAAGAGGCATTAAAGTTATATGACAACACCTGAATGATTTTTACGTAACTTTAATGCCTCTTGTTCTAACGGTAGCCCATATAGACCATGACAAAAACATTCTGTTCTCTTGTTCCTTTAATTCTTTTGTGTAGTGTATATAAGAGCTGTATTATTTCGGCCCCTCTCACAGCCGGCTGGAGGTGGATTCTGCTGGCCTAAGAGGTCACCTATACTACCATAGGTCTTTTTAACTTGGTAGGCATGTAAAGATACTCCTTATTGTTACAAATTTGAGGTTTGAAGTCAATCACACAAATAGTTTTGTTGTTACGTTCATTTGAAGTTCAAGGCTAGATGTGTGCCAGTCCGCATGCACTGAGCACCAGAGTAGAAATAGTATGCATGACCCATCTCAGAAAACTTGCCAATGCCCAAGGTTCAATTTTTCACAAAATTGGTGTAAAGATGACCACAAAAAGTTACTCTAAAAACTCAGTAGGGCTCAGCTGCTGAGAAAAAAATGCACTGCAGAGATAACTGAAAAAAATGTTGGGGGGGTATCCCCCTACCACTCTTTTAAGGTTAAGTCCCCAAAGTATTTACATTTAACTTAGAATGAGGTTTGTAATTATTTATGCTGCATATGCTTGTGAAGGACACGACAAAAGACCATAAGACTTAAGTTTGCAAACAAATTATCTGAAGCATTGGTACTCTGCCAGCTTTATGTTATTGTTTTTATGGGGGAAGAGTATTTGTACATGTATTGGGTTTTAACACGTTGGTTTGCAGCATGAGCACATGCAGTTTATCATTTTTCTTTTTTAGGTAGTGTTTTCAAGAAGAAGAATGGGGGTACAGATGCTAGTGAGGGTTATATCATGGAGGAAATGATGGAGTCTGATTCTGTAACATCTGAGGAAGTGGGCCATAAAATGACAGAGTCAGAACAACTCGGTGAACTTGGCAAGATGATACTTCAAGATGAGGTTAGACATTTTGGATATTGGTCCTTATCGTTCACATTTATACTGTAACTGAGGGGTGTTAGATGCACCAGTGTCACATTGTGTCACAAAGTAGTGTTAGTGGGCAGATGTGCATGAAAAAAATGGTGATCAGTTAGCATGGTAATGATTAAGCAGTTTTTCCGTTAAAGCTAGAAATTTTTTTTTTTTTACTAGCGATAAAGAATTTCTTTATGTTTTTATGCCACATTCTGTGATCCCAACTGCCTTGTGAAACTTTATTCTCAGTCTTGATGTTTGGACAAGTGTTAACATTCAGTGGACATTTTTTGTTTGTACTACACATTTGTTTTGCATGTGAAATGTAAACCTTAAAGGGGGGCCACACCATTGTTTTTTGGCCATAATTTTGCAGGATTGGCTGATTTAGAGGTATGGAATTCATTGAAGCTTTCATTCCTCTGACTTTTTCCATGTTTAAGTTAACTGCTTGAAAAAAATTGAGAAAATAACAATGGTTAAATTGAAAATCTTATTTATTTTGGACAAAATCCATTAACAGCAGGGCATTCTGAGTCAGCAAACAACGTACACGCAGAGTCGACCTGCAGATGAACAGATTTGACATATGCTCTTGCCTTTTAAAAAGAGTATTTTTCTGCGACCAAGAGTTATCAGTAAATTTACCCTGAAGTACCATGCCTCTTCAACAGTGTAGCATTGTGGATTCATGGGGAAAAATTCAAGCAGTGAAGTTACTGCAGTCGACTTGTGTCTATGCCACGATAATTATGTTGTATGCAAGTGCATGCATGATTGTGCTTTGTGGCCACACTTTGGCATCTGTTAACACATCAATGGAAGTCTCAAGCTGTATTTGCATTGGACTTTTCTTACTTAACCGATTGTGAAATAAAAAGTGGTCCAATGAGGCAATGCAATGAGGGCGCTTTGACCTTTCTGCATTTATTTTTGTCCCTAAACACAACTTTACCGTCCTCATTATCTCTAAATGGTGCACTCTTAATACCAGTTAATTTTCTAACAGTGTCAAAAACAATTTCTGCCATGATTATGACCAAAACAGGAAAAAACTATGGGAAATATTAGCCACATGCCATACCGCGACAAACATGCAATGCGCATGTGCAGTTTCCCGGTATGTAACGTGCTGTTGTACTTGCACTTGGGCCAGATGCATGCTCTACCGGCCACTTTCCCATGCTTTTACTGACTCGTGTTGTCCACACTGGACTTTCCGTCTCGAACTCGAAAAAGTGTCTCGATAATTTTCCTGGGCAGAAGTTGGCCGGTAGAAATGACCTCATTTCTCAGTAAAAGTAGCCAAGAAGAAAATTTCCTGGGATGTCTCCATGGACCTTACACTGGGAAAAGTAGCCATCGTTTTGGTAAGTAAAACCAAAAAAGTCTAGTGCGAACACGGCTTTAACACCCATTCTCAGTTGACTCTTAACTACTAGTTATTGGCAAACAGGAAATTATATCTGGAAATACAGGTTGTGGGCAAAAAATTCCTCACCGTGCAGGTTGGAAACAGCAGCTTGGTTGGCTAGGCATATTATACTGCATTTTGGAACATTTAAAGGGGCCACACCTGTTAGTTAAGAACACAAACTTAACAAAATCATTCAGCCAAACACAGGTTAATTTTGGTCTCCGGAAAAAGTGCTTTAAAAATGAGCATTTTTATTTCTTAATTCTTCGAAAATGGTGAGATTGACCAGGCTAGGTCCCCATGCCACTGACAACATAGGAATTAAACATAGGAAACAAAAATGCAAACTTACATGATGAAACAGAAGAAAAACACTGACCGACTGCAGTGACTTATACAACATAGAACAGGCAACATCAAACCTCATAGTAGCAAATTAAACTGTACAGAAAAAAAGGGCCGCTGCTCGCTGAGATACAGAGATGTGTCCCCAGCCAGTGTTCTGTAAAAATCTCTGTAGAAATCTCAGTGGTAGTCATCAGTGGTATACCTGGCAAGATATGGGATGGAGGGGTACCCCCTTACCTGTCCAGTCCCTATACATACTCTAGACTATTGTTACCTAACACATCCCCCTTAGAAGTCTGTAAAGAGTTCCTGAGATTCCGATCAAACAATGACCAACACAAAGGCGGGAGGGGGTTCTCTCCGTCCCATGTCTTGCTTCAAATGATCAGTGGAATGCTAAAAGCAGTCCATTGTACCTTTTGTACCTTACATCAATGGACATGGCCCAGCACCCCCCAAAAAGGAATGTGGCATCACAATGAACATACCAACAGCTGGGCGCACTACTTCCAACTGTGTCTTGATCCAGCACCCGAGCCCTTTTTGTTACAGTATAACCTCTTTATTCAGACTCCTAATACATCTGTACACACCACACACAAAAATTGGTGCCTGTTTACAGATTTAGTATTCAAAATGAAACAAAAGTTTAAACAATAGTCAGTTAAACAAGAAAACAAAATTTCTGTTTTTTCAGAAACAATAGCATTCTCTGCAGAAATATTTTACAGATTGACCAAGGCTGTCATTTACTTTCTTTTGGGTACAATATTCAAGGATTATTCAGCAGTCCTTTTTTCCTTGTGATTTTACCAGTGGTGTGTCCTACCTTTAATAAGGTTTTGGTGGTTGAGTGTAGTGCAGTTGTTTCAAACCGTTGCACAAATTCTATCATTGTAACTTATGAATAAAGTTTTTGATACATTGTTGATTTTCCGGGGAAAGTTTTGGTTATTCTGAGGAGGCTAGGCTGCATATTGTAACAGGTAATGCATCCACATGTTGCAACAGACCAGTGTGCCAGTATATTGTAACAGGCTAATGCGCCCGCATATTGTGACAGACAATTGTAAATATGTAATATGTAATATTGTAAATATGCAAATTCCTTTGCATCTGATTCAATTCACTAAAACTTATGATCAACCGTAGTGGGCCCTCTAGTTCTATTATGCATAGCGGAATGGCTGCCATGTTCGTCCTTCTTTTCCTTAACGTGATTCTAAACGGATGTGTCTTTTTGACATCTTTGAGTTTATCGAGTTTATGTTTGGCTTCCACACCTTTGTGATATCATAATAAACATACATTCTATATTTCTGAGTTAATGTGTGTATTTTCTTGTTTTGGCAGTATTTTCCTCTTCTCGTGTGTGCATTTTATAGGTTGTTGACTCTGCTATTATACTACCGAGCGATACAGAGGGTCAACCGGGCAACCCCCGGATTGTTTCGGGTTCTGTGAGGCGGTGCGAGCGATCCAATACTGTGGTCCCCCTCTTTCCTTGGTATATGTAGGGTCAATTGGGTGACCCTGGGTTTGTTGGGGTTACAAGGAAGTACGAGCATTCCAAATTCTGTGATCCCACATTCCCCTATAGCCTGAGAGGAGTCAGTCTGCAGAGGATCTAGTGGCGTCTTGGTAAACTTGTGTTTCCGTGGCTTATCCCTGCTATCAGTACCATCTTTGGTTCAGTTCAGGGTTAGCCTACACCACGCTTCAAGAATCTGAACTGCAGTGCCTACGATATCCAAAGGTTCAGTTCCCCAAGGTAACACTGAAGCATTGCAGTCAACGATAGTACAGAATGGTGCTGCACTCGGGGTCGAAATTTCCCCCGCCAGCTGAGTCTGGGCGCAACACTTCTGCATCCCAGTTCCGAAGTATTTCGAACGGGTGATGCTGGCCGACAACAAGCTCTTATCAACACCTACCATGGGCAACACCCGACATCGGCATGGCTCACAAGACCACGCGATAGGGCAACCCCACGCCACCAGTGCTATCTACACCGGCCGCATCACCCCTGGTGCCATTGTCTTAAGATGCCCTTTCAACTGGGGCACCTGGCCATGACAAAGATGCTGACTCTCCACGAGACAAGGCAACACTGCTCTCCGGAGTGGTCTCTGCAGAGACAATTCCAGGCCATGTGGGCACACCACCACCTGCACCTGGGACAACAGAGCCCACCGGCCTCCTGTGCCATTGGGGCTTCCGATCTTTGTACGTCACCCTGTCTTCAGGCTACCTTCTGGCCCTTTCTGGGAAGACTCCTTCTCCTCCCGTATCCTTAGGCGTGGGGTCAAAATACAGACGGTTTAGAAACAGTTCAATGGTTGGTGTTAATCCCCCTTCATTCCGTTCTTCTTTTGGTGTTGGACAGTTCAACGGTTTGAAAAGAACCATCTGCCCTGGACTATCTAGCTTCACGAGCAACCCTGCAACAATGGAGTTTGTGGCTTTAATACACAGCCATAGTTGTGAACAAACGATCCTATTCAAGGAGAACTTCATTGGCCCCGATCAGCCTTCCTGGGCTGGCGGTAAGGATGAGTGGTTAACACCTTGTGATAGAAATGCAAAATCAACTGCATTATAGGCTACAGACATTTCTCTAGCTTCAGAAACGTTTTGAGTAGGTAATTCATGACAAAAAGACATTGCCACAAGATAATTTTCGTCTTTAAGCATTTTTTAGACTGGGAAATAAATACATTTATATGGGAGTGACGGGAAATGCCAAACACAGTTGCCTCATTTTACCGCCTGATCTATCGTCTCTGAAAGGAAATATCCACATACACACAATATGAATTTATTTTGAACTTCAGTCACGTGTACCATATTCTTTGAAACTAATAAAATAGTACAACTCCGCATCAAATAGTGCTGCAAATATGTGTCAAGGTTGGGTTCAGACAGGGCTTGGACATTTTTTGCGGAACTTCAGATCAGTTGGGGTTTGGACATGTACACACATGTACATATACAATGCACATTGAGACATCGAATTTAGGCTCACTACGATCATGCTGCAAAGGTGTATATAGTATTTCTGTGTATAAAATTATGAATCTCCCATGTCTCCCCATCCATGAGCAACTTTGATTGGAATACATTTTGTTTTTAAACTGTTTCCCAAGAGTTTGTCTATGAGTACATTCCATAAAGTTACTGCTGGAGGTGTGGCAGTTTCTGACCGTGTTTTGCCGAC